TCATGACGACATTGTTTCGTCATCCAATCGTACGTATAACGGGCTGTAATTGGCCGCCAGCACGAGCATATCTGTCCCGCTAATTATAGACCCGATCAGTTTCATTATTCCTCAAGAAGCCTCGATCCCACTCTGCACGAGCCAACGACACTCAGTTGTATTAACTAAATTATGTCTTTTTCATTCATCATCTCGACAAAAAAAGGAAATGTGGTGTCGGATGAAAGTACTGGAGAGTGAAACCTTAAATTAAAGAAATTAGGCATGAAAACATGGCTATTACAACAAGGAAATGCTGTTTAAAGAGGCTGATTTATAAATGAGGCGGGACGTTTTCAATCTTCATAGGTTTCCTGTATTACCGTACCCCCTATGTATACAGTGTTTATCGTATTAAGCCTGGACTTTGTAGCCAGGAACAAAACTCATAGTTGATGCGTTTTTTAATCATAACAATGATGTTTAATAGAAAGTCCACTTGTGTTATGTGGATTTACACTCGGTCGAACCTTACGTTGGCACTGTGCAATGACAATAGGACATCACTCACACATGAATATAGACATCTAAGATGGGCATAAGATATCATCATTGGCATATGACATCTACATCGACATAAGATATATCATATGAACATATGACAAAACATATTGAAATTAGACTCAGTATATGTTTCTTTTTAAAGGACGCAACATGCATATATATTAACATTCTTGACGTGCAATGAAAATAGAGTAAATACATTTTACAAGTATTGTCGCTTAAATAATATTGTTTTGATAAAAAAAAAAAAAATCAAACCAAGATAAACACTTTGTGTGAACAATTCAAATACTATCAACAACAAAAAAACAGAATGTATTTGACCATTTACCATTTCATTCATTAAAAAGAGAGTATAATAACTATTGCATAAATAGGTATATAATGGAATGTCGACTGTGAGACGAGTTGTAGAAGTAGTTGTAAAAGTCAATTTCGTAAAACACAAATGTATAATATCCCTACCATTAAACATTTAAGAAGGACAAAGATCTCCATTGCATCCGTTTTGTGCCTTGCCGTCAATCTCTCGTCTTGAGGAAACGGTCCCGGGACAACGGCATCTTAACGTGGGCTAATTAACCGCAAAAATAGCAACATTACTGAGGCACAAACCGCTCGCCGCTGACTGCCTCGACTAATTGAAGTTTATTGTCTAACTTGGTATCGGTAACATTGTCCCGAATGATGTGTAATAAATAAAAGGCCCATTACTCCAGCAGTTTGAATTTTATTACAAACAATACCTAAACAAGCGATTGACGTAATTGCGGCATTGCACGAACTGTTTGTTATGGTTTAATCAATTCATCGTTAAAGAAAACTGACACTTAACCGATTTTTGTGGTTCTAATTTCAAATCTGATTTTGAAATAATTTTATTCAAACAGTCCTAGTGGTTTTCGTTGAAGTTTTTGTTTAGTTTCATCTGACACTTGAGGAGTGTGTACTTAGTTTCTAAACTGATAAAAGATAGGGATTGTTCTAACATATCTTAATTATGATAAAGTCATATGTGTTATCAATTGGCATATCTGTTTGAATAGAGATAACTATCTATGTTTTCGTTGTTGTTGTTCTATCCAATACCAGTCAAAGATTTTGCAAAATGAATAAAATAATTAACAGAGTCGATCATTCAAAACAGTTAGGTTGGCTGTTGGAGGTATTACTAGGTCCTTTGTCTTTGCTATTTGTTGTATCGTTATCAATAGTTTTCATTATCTACTCGTTATCTTTCAACAAAGATGAACTAAATTTTGAAGTAATGATCTATTGCAAAACAAAACGTTCGTTTGCGTCAATGTAGGTCAAAGGAATATAATGGTACTCATCCTCATCCGGTTTGTTATCTGGGAGACGTCTATGTTTACTATGGAGTTTTACAGAAATGTGTGGGAGACATCATAACAGGTGCAACTTGTGGCGGGGAAAAGCTCACCTCTCCGGACCAGCTGGTTCTACCTTGTTTTCCCTATTTCAATGAACCATACAGGAAATAAGCCTGATTCATTGTCTTATACTTGTAAAACATGTATAGTCTTTTTTATGTACTGTACCTTTCTGTAATCATGTCATGTTTACTCGTCTACAACTTTATGTGTTAATTTGATGATATTTAATCATTTTTAATGATATATTTCTGGTACAGGATTTCATATCTCTACACCAGAGATAATACACGATAATTGTAATTAAAAAAAAATGTATTGTAATGACAGTACAGTTCATAAACTAGCTTTGACGTTATATAACAAATCAATGTTTTACCGGTGTTTATCCAATTCATTTTTTAAACAGCACAAACTACATTAGCACAAACTACATTTTCCGGTAAGTTATTCCACATATTCGCAGTTTTTAGTAGAAAACTCTGTTTCCTCTTCATCAATGTACACTATAGGGGGTTGATGCCTGTCCTGAATACTTGTACGTAAAGTGTAAACCATCAATTCATTTCTACAGGTTTGTTATTTAAGCATTGAATTGTTTGTGTATGGTATTTATGATTTATTTGAATGACACAGCTTTGCGCGCAAACAACATAATGGTCTGCAACATATGTGTCAGTAGGTCTATAGAATATGTGTATTTCCGACATTTGTAACGAACCCCTGTTTATCAGTGCAGTGCAACAGACGATAATTCTGATAAATTGCATGAGCGTTAAAATTGTTTCCAATGCCGGCATTGGTGATTTCAACCGATGTGCAGTTTGTACGATATTGCAGACCTTGGTCTTGTTTTTGTTGTAATACAAATATTTTTCTTATTTTATTTTTTATTTTGCACATAAATTTACAATGACATTTTCATGTCTCACCATGCCCAGCGATATTTCAGCAGCCGTCATGTTTATTTACATTGGATATTGTAGTTCCCGTTAGTGTTGTATTGATATGCTAAGCATTGTGTCTCGTGCTGCATGGTAATTAAAGTCCCATCAAAGACACATCTTTCAAATAGGCTATATAGTGACAGTGCCATGCAAATGTAAATATATTAAATTAAATGAACATATATCGTAAAATGATTTATCTACAATATGACTGTTTACAATATTCTTGAGCTTTCTTTAGTTTTGCACAGTCGAAACGAACAAAATCATAATAGGACCTGATGACACACAAACAGAAAATAAAATAACATCGTAAATCCTTTTAAAATATGAAAACATGAATCAGAATGTATTTGGCACAGGCGAGTTGACTGATAACATTTCCAAACTACTTTCAAAATAATTTAAACAAGTAATCAAGTCAACGGATAATATGTCCACTTATTAACTAGGTAAGCATGCAGATGCAAAAAAAAAAAAAAAAAGTAGCATTCGTGATTTTCGTGAAATTAGTACATGTTTAATATAAATTTCTTTCATCGAACAAATGAATAAAATAAATTCATAGATAAAAAAACTGAATAGACGTGTACTCTTAGCTACTATACGAAAACAATAAGACTGTATTACAGTAATACATATCAGTTTCAATACCTGCTCCGTTGGAGCACGTAATGTATATGCTGTAGAAATAATGCAGATGTTTTGTTGACTTGTTGTCGGTATTCGTTTATATGTATTTGTTTATATGTATTATCTTACGCCCGACAAATTATTTGATATTCAGCAACAAAGTTCAAACAAATAGCATAATGGTTATCGAAAGTTTGGACAACAAAATAAGGGTAAGTTGGCTGGACCTACAATTGTATCTCTTCCTACCTCTATACGCCCACCTCTGTCTGCATTCTATCATTGGTGGGTTTTTTTTCAATGTACAAATAGCAAAAATGTTTCAGGGTTAAAAAATGTTTTTGAATGCTCATCTTGTAAAATTATAAGTTATCATTCCTCATAGTCAAAAGGTCGTGCCATGATGATGCTTCACAATTAAAAGGTTTATCGGTTTTTTTCTCGATAGTTTAAGACAACATGCAGTATACTTAGACAGTACAACATATTGTTATAAATGGACGATACATTTTCTGCTAATCATTACTTATTATCATCCCTTTATAATTTTTGATTTGCGTTCTAAAACCTTGAACCGAACAAACAATGAAGAACAAAACTACGTCAAAGACGCAAAAAATTTCTTACAGTACTTAAAGGTTAAAATGACGTTAAAATATTCAGAACCAATTCCTGCTATTACTTGTTGATATGATAACAACCGATGAATTCTAGTCTAAAATTCACAAGGCATGTAACAAAACTAGCTGTATCCCTACAGTAAGATTCACAAGGCATGTAACAAAACTAGCTGTATCCCTACAGTTAGATTCACAAGGCATGTAACAAAACTAGCTGTATCCCTACAGTAAGATTCACAAGGCATGTAACAAAACTAGCTGTTTCGCTACAGTAAGATTAGCAAGACATGTTACAAAACTGGCTGTATCCCCATGGTAAGGTTCACAAGGTTTGTGATAAAACCGGCTGTATCGCTATATTAAAACTCATCAGATATGTAAGAAAACTGGATAAATTACAATAGTAAGATGCACCAGGTATTTTATTAGACTGGCTGTATCAATATCGTAAGATTCACCAGGTATATAATAAAACTCGCTGTATCACTGTCGTAAGATTCACCATGCTGTATCCTTATAATAGGACGTATCACGTAATAACTAATCTGTGGATACAATGATGAAGATATTTAGAATGTTCTTAATTCGGTTCGTATAAGTCACGTAAAACTGGACTTAATTGATTGTAAATAGTTATAATCACGTAAAACTTGGTGGCAGTACAATTAATAAGCTAAACTGGTACACATCACATGACGTTTAGTAATATACGGGTGTTTACTCTCTCTAGAACACAAAACATGCATTACTTTGTACAACGACACGGTCGGTCGATTCAGCGGTAGTCATGTCCATCTTAAATTTCAGTATGATGATTTTTTTTTTTTTTGCATAATTTAATTATCAACATATCACAAAAGAATAAATCAACAGGAAAGCAGGCTTTATTATGTATATTATAACAACAAAACACTCAAATCTAGAATGACAACACTACGTGTGTACGGATTGTAAGCACTTAACAATATCCCAGTCCTTACGCTACGACAGATACCAATATTGCAACTTCCCATGAGCCTTGAATTACACGTGAACACGTGACTTAACTAACATCGATCTCTTCATCGTCGGAACAGTCTGACAACATGGCTGATTCGTCTGTTAAACCCGTGTCACTTCCGGTTTCTGAAATATGTGAGTAATCACACTTTCCCTCCTTGCAGTCCCCACCTGGTGAGGACATGTCATCATTTCGAACGTGAATTTTCCTGTGACGTTCCAAGTTACTTTTGTGACTTGTGGCGTAATCACATACTGGACACACATAATCTTTCTGTCCATTGTGGACCGACAGGTGGCGCTTCAGGAGTGCCTTCCGGCAGAAACGACGTCCACAGTAAAAACAAGTGTATCCATGGTAATGAAATATCATGGAATGTTCCCGCAGCGAGGCTTTGGTGGTGAAAAGTACACCACAACATTCCATGAGTTTTGAACAACGTCTGTGCATTGTGAGCATATGTCTTTTGAGATTGTTTCTCCTGTCTGTTGTGTATCTGCACTCCGGACATGGGAACAACTTACGGCTGACATTAAATTGTGATATCAGTTGCCCTCGGTTTCGTAGCAGCAAGGGTTGTAACGTAAATGGATACGTTGATGAGGTGACAACATCCGGGTACTGCTTGTTTGAAGTTGTGACCGGATCACGCACGTTTGTCCGATTGTCCAGTAATTTATCGTCCTCCGAATGAAGGGCTGTATGGAATCCCGGCTGTCTGAGGTGATTCTGAACTGCCATGAATGCCGTTAGAGGACAAGATCTTACAAGGCTAAGTCCAGCATCCGTGGACACCCAGGGCGGGAGAGGAAGACTTGGGATCCGGGGGGAGGTAGTCTCTCTCTGTCCATACACGGGGATCGGTCTGAAACGACATATAAAATGGTACTGATGTTGCAAGATTCAGAAGCATTAAAGCATATATACAAAAACTACGCAATCAGCCATTGGTAAAATTCTATGCCAATTATAAATTAACCGAAAGCCTATGATAGAGACATATGATAAGTTAAGAAGTAAGAATTAAGATTAAAATAAATGAACGACTGAAAACCCATAGTTACTAAGACATCAAGTAGTTTTTATGTCAAAAAGAATATCATTTGTCGTAAGAAACTATTCAACAGATGATGCCTTTTCAACAATTAATGAGAGGTCATGACTCTCTTTATCATTCAATCTAAGTCCATAGGAGGGTTTTATTTTTCAAAACAAAAACAAGTGAGTGAGTTACTAGTATAAATCTGTTTCCTTCTTCAACTGTGAAAAAGAGGAAACACATTTATATAAGTTCAAAACTTGTATCTAGAATTGTAAAACTGTTTACGTTAAAGAAATACACGTATGCTATTTCAAAGCGATGTGAAATTAGTTTAATCCAGCTACGTATGAATCGGGCGTTCACAGTATTATTTGGCATTGTAGTTATTGTTACATATCCGATCAATGTTACATCATTATATCTGGTCTTTGTATTGACCTGCTCAGCTCCCGGAGATATCTTTGTACATATTATGCGTATTTAATTGTTTCTGGTCTACACTCGATCGGCTTTAAGGTTCCACGTGAGCAGCACGTGCCTCGATGGGCCCATTACCGGGTCCTTACTGACCGAGACATGTTAAACACGTGCACTGTTACGCACGGTAATGCACGATCTGGGACCGCTGAAGGAAGTACGGGAGTGGGACATCAAAGTAGAACCAGTCGTGCTCATGTCTAATACCACATAATTACGGCCAAGTGGTTACGATGGTCATTTGTTTGTATCAGTCTGTATGATTCCATATAAATTACTAATTTGTCAAAGATACGGACCATTTACTCTGCCGTCGAGAGAGCACTCGAATGGATTTATAAGACAATTATATTGATGTAACCATCGGGAGTTTTCCAATTATCGAACTAATCTGTGTATTGCATAAAGAAAAGATCTCCTCCATCACCCAGCCTCGCTCTGACGAACGACAAATCGGAGGTCTCCATCGAAGCTCAGTCATGATCGTAAACACTGTTTATTATCCTGTGACGTGCCTGTCAAGCGTAAGCCTATTGCATTATTAAAGACTATCAGAACTCGTGGATTTTAGGGACAGCATGTCTTTTATCTTCTGTATAAATTATTTCATATTTTATGAGATCAAATAAAATCCTAAACCCACAATCGACATGATTCCAATACGGTTTCCCAGCCAAGGGTAATGATACATGAGCCGCTTGTCATACAATCCTTTGACAGACCCGGACACCGGGGCATTTTACAGCCCCCTCTGGATCGCGCACAAATACCTGTTATACGGATCTGGGTCCTACCCGCATTTTAAATCCTTTTAATTATTTACTATTATTTTGGTACCGTGTTTCATGTTTATTTCCTCTGTAATTCTACCTGTTCTATCACACTATAAAATGACGGTCTCTAAAGCTTATAGTTAGATTGTAGGCCGTTAAATACTCGCACAGTTTTGTTTTGGCTAGTGACGTCACTTTACGACCGCATCACAGCTCCCTGTCATCGGTATAATGTAGTCCCCACACAAAGCACCCCACTTCCCCTTTGACAGTCGCTGATTGAAATGTGACACGTCTCTATTAAATATTTGGATGCTGTAATCATTATGTAGAACATGTGACTATGTTTGCTGAAGTAGTCCCATCAGAAGCTCGCGGAGGGACTCCGAGCTTTGTAATTTGTCCACTGATGGGTCAAACTCCACCCGACACTAGACGCGATGGTCACACCTACATACCCTCAACACTGTAATTATATCTAAGTGTATGTCTTTGTATGTGTGAAATCAGCATTTTATAGCACATTGGAACGACATTCGCGAGAAATATCTTACCGTTCCTCACCATTATTATGTAAATCGAGAATATTCTGATATATCATTAAATGGCCATCGTGTACCGTCAGAATACCTGGTGGTGTCTGTGCATGTTAGCGGCTTGTGTTAGATTAGATAGCTGGTTTGATATTCTTCAAAGGTTTATTTTTCTCCCGCGCCCCTAAATCAACTTACATGCTTTTATTTGTTTTTCCTGTGTATTTTACGAGATAATTACTGATATAGTATCTTCTCAATTATCTCGGAAACTATGTCTTAGTTACTGGTTTATAAACGTCTTGGAGGTTTAAATAGACTTTATACTATGTATGCTATATAGAGAATGTTTGGACATGTCCTGTTGGATATGACATATCTACTTAGTATTTCATGAGTATGGCAGATATCGATACTTTTCACGAATGCGAAACACAAGTAAACAATTCGGTATTTTCTGTCATATGATTGAAATATATATCGTGTTAAACGGAAAACCATTGTTCTATCTATTAAATTTGAAAATAATCTTCAACGACGAAAATGTTACTGCTTCAAAACAGGTGGTAATAGCTTCATTTCTGGTGCCATATTCTAGTGCCGTCACGCTTAAAAACAACGTTGCATGCCATTTTTAATGAGCTTGTTAACACAATTCTACAGTTTTCTGTTTGGTAAGACATACTAAAAGTTACCACTTATTCTACCATTGCTTCATCTGTACCTGAACAGAAAATATGTGGCTTTGCATGAGAAGAATAAAAAAGTATGGTTCTGATTTGTCAATACCTAAACCGATATTTTCACACTGTGACAAATATCACTTTTGATATCTGTGATATAGTGTGAAAGATGTAATTTTTTGCAAGAGAATATAGTTCGATATCTAATTACCAAAAATGAAATTGATAAATACACTATGTAGATTATACCCTATCTAGATTATATACTATATAAATGTCCCGGGGAAACCGACTATTAATGAAGTCTTGGATGTCGATGTTGAGATATGCTCCATCAGAAAGCTTCTTTTATGTGTAAGACATATAATCACTAGAAATATCAATGACGGAAGCACACCTTAATAGCATGTGCTTGTAGATGTTACTGTCCACGTGATAATTAGGTTTTTTACGACTCATCATTGGTACAAAAGGTCAAACGAGTGAATGATCCCTGTCGTAAGTGGGCTAACATGGACTTATACAGTAAACGAGGGAAAATTAAGACAACAAACTATATTCACGATGTGAAATAGACAAACCTGGGCTTATATAGTAATTGTTTACTTGTACTATTTATTAAACGAACACAGACGAAGACAACAAACTATATTTACGATGTGAAATAGACAAACCTGGGCTCATATAGAAATTGTTTACTGGTACTATTTATTAAACGAACAAAGATTAAGACAACAAACTATATCCACGATGAGAAATAGACAAATCTGAGCTTATATAGTTATTGTTTACTTTCCTATTTATTAAACGAACAAAGATTAAGTCAACAATCTATATCCAGTTTGACTGGGCGAAAATATTCCATCTTACAGTATATATTAGACAAATATCTGACTAAGCAGACATATCTAAAGCTAAATACACTGTAAAAATATCATAAGGATCCTTGTACCTACACGGTTTCCGCATACCTGATATAGTTGTAGTTTTTAGGTATAAAACTTTCACGTTGGATTATAGCAGAATCATCGGCCTATGTTTCAACCGTATCAGGTTCACCTGTCTGCTAGTAATACTTATATTTGCCACATCAGCTGACCTGGTGTACGTTATGTGCACAAAGAACAGCTTTGTGTTGTCTTAGAACTGCTATCTTATTACAATATGTTCATTTTTGTATTATAACCGTCTTCTCGATTTCCTCAAATTTATCGTGTTCGTTCGAAAAAAACACAAACATCCTACAATAACTCATCGTTGAATTCAAGAGTTCTGCTTTTGACATCACAGATCAGCAGCTGTGGATCAAAAGTGTAACCTTCGGATTGTGAAGATGGCTTTACGTAACGTTTTGCGTGCCGACAGAGCATTTCTATGGTGCATCAATGTTAGTGAAACAGGCGGCTAAATTTTAGTATATTCATTTATATATATTTTAATTCCTATCAATATTTCATATGATGGTTTCTTGAATTGTTAAAATGTGTGTCTGACTATATTGCTGTATATCGATAATGTTAAAACATTCCTTAATCAAAGATCATTTTGCATAAACATCCCGTTAATAAACATTTGTCCTTTAGTTACTTTATGTTCGTGCAACGTTTGGCTGCAAAAGATAAGCTATAATTATTATTTCATATACAACATGCCTCAATGGACTGATAGTCAATCAGAAGAGCCAATCACTTTGTTACGTAAAATATTTACTAGAACTACAAAGTAAGGAATCATTTAGGTATTTAGTACGCTGATGCACATACCCAAACACAATTTGTACTGCATCATATGGCTTTTCCGTTCATCAACTTTTCAGCAGTGATTTTAAAGGTCAAAAGAACAAAAAACCAAATCTTATTGAAACATATTAAGAATTAAAGAAACATATGTAGAATTAAAGAAATATATGTAGAATTAAAGAAATATATGTAGAATTAAAGAAATATATGTAGAATTAAAGAAACTGGACAAAGATGCATATGAAACCCTTTTACGTCACCGAATTCACAATATTTGTCAAACTAGTATTCTGTTTAGCAGTGCCAGGATAAATTCCAATTATAAAACTACAACAAACTTCGAAGGCAATAGACATAGAGCAACAGCATTTGTCGTATATCAACCAGAAATTGACCAATGATATATATGAATATAATAATTTGTGAACCGCTTTGAGACGACCTACGAACTAGGTTGTGATACAGCGGTATATATGAACCTCGAATTATAATTAATTATAAGTCGTAAAGAACAAGAAGACTTGTATGCAGTATAAAATGTCAAAAAAACTAATAGAAATTCAGGATAACTGTATGTCAAATGTTCAAGTCGAGCAAAACAGAGAAAAAATGCCTATATTTCTATTTATTACTATAGAATCCTTCGAAACATTACCAATGGCTGGCTACGTTAGACAAGTTACGTGTATACTTAATATTTCATGTTCACCTTGTTAGCATAATTTCCAGCTACAAGGTTGTGACCGACCTCGGGGAATGATGACCGGAAGAAGGGTCATCCATCTTAAGACGTAAATAATAATTAGTGATATGAAGAAATGAAACAAGAATTCAAAATGTAAAATTACAAATCAACATAAAATACTAAACATTGCTCCTGTACCATATGGCCATTATACCAATGTAGGACCTTTCATCGATTCTCAAGGTACAAAGAATAGGAATCAAAGCCTACAGTCTTCCGATACAAATGTTTTCATACGGCAATAAGGGGAAAGATCATATAAAACTCCGTATTACGTTATATTTGACAATGTCGGGCTACAGAAGATATTTTATACTTTAACTAGAGTTCCATGAATATCTCGTCGGAATAAATACTAGCTACAAGCCTACAGCCAACCTCGGGAATTCTGTGATTTTTACAACGCCCAACGTATTATCAAATAGAAATGTTTATGAGTATTAAATCAAATCAAAGAAGATGTCCACCTATTCAATTGATTGTATTGTTTGTGTAACAACAAGCATTGAAATTAATAGTTTAGATATCATAGAGTTCCATGTACATTTTACCAGAATAAAGACTAGTTACAAGGCTACAGCCAACCTCGGGGACTGAGCCCACCAACAGAATTTACCGCGTTGAGATTTAAAAGTTGCTACAATGCGAATTAAGCAACCAAAGAAAATGTAGCAAATCAAAGCAGAACGTTTTTACTATGCCTCATTGTTTTTTTGGTTTTGTATTTGTATTTTGTTGTGTGAATTAAGGCTAAATTAATGGTTGTGAAGGTCAAAGAAATGAAAATCCATGTCTGAAGTCTTGCGAAATCTAGTTAGAATACAGCAGAACAGGATATGTGCCTAAACGTTACCTATTAACAACGTCTGATGGTTCCAACCGGTACTTCATTATTAAACAAGGATTTCTATCCAACAGATTACGTGACACCACGGGGGACTGCTGGTCCACACCAAAAGGGGTAATATTATCTTCCTTGGTCATATTACCTTTATTAAACTATTTTGTTTGTTGCGTTTAACTGGCCATCGACGGCCATGGCCATTTAGGGCCAAAACAACCTTTTATATATGCGGCGACCATTAGAGAAATCAAAAATAAAATCATATAAACTCATATATATTATAAAATCAGCTGCAGGATAGATTTAGAAAGTTAAAAATATCAAAATTTATCTGGACATATAATTAAGTTGATTAAGCGTGATACAAGTGTTCCGTGTATAGTATTTCATTAGAACGCCTAACTTATGTGTCGGGTGTTTATCCTTTCGTGTCTATTAGATATTAGGACGCCTAACTGTATGACCTGTATAAAATTCTCATCACTGATTAAAAACACACCAGTTATACGTTTGTCCTCACTCATAAACGCTATCAATTTTACAAAGAGAAACTATCATATCACTGAGTGTAGGTCAGATCCCTCTTAGGATAGGCCTTATGTCACCGAAAGTTTATCTTCCGTGTGGAAGGTACTGGTACATTATACTGCAATGTTGCCACTGCCAGGTGGCGTGTTGTGGTTGCGATGTTCTCCTACACACAACAGGTGCACCATATATTAGTACGGCCCACGACGGGTAACCTTCCTGGTAAACTCCGTCATACTACCCCATTCGCTCTAAGTAGGTATGTATGATATGTTAACAATACAATGGGATGTTTCAACCTCGGTATTCGAATGGTATGTCATGGTGACATGTTAGGTTATACAAAGTACTTTATTAAAAATCTAACATATAAATGATGTCATATCGACGAATCAGAAGAATGTATTTTCAAGTTGTTATAATTAAAAATGTAATTAAGACTTGTTTTATATATAATGTGAGACAGATACCGCAATAATAGCAATGACCATTAGAAATGAAATAGATGAAATATGTTATTATGAAATAAAAACAATGAGCAAGCATTTATATATTGCTGGTGTTCGTAAAATCATGCTGAATACAAACACACTCTGGTTCATTATGAATTTCAATAATTATAAAAACATTCAATATTGAGAAACAGAATTTTCTGCACCTGACAACTGGTTTGAACTATTAACGTTACGTGATGCAAATGAGGAGCTGTATTATTTGAAAAAGCAATTAGGAATTCATTCAGATTATCATTTTACCGAAAGAACATGGTCAAAGGACCCGGAAATATTTTATAAAACACAATTAGATAACAACTATTTTTACATAGCAACAAGACGTACACATATATCACCTTTTGCCTGCTTTGCTAACACTACAAACAAACATTAAAAATGGACCATTTTATAATGTGTTTTCATATCTTGTTACTCCCTCAGTAATGTAGTCTGAAAACTTAATTCTATCTGGTTGAATTATAGACCATTATGTTTTATTACAAAACGTTTTCAAAAACTAACATATTTGGTATCGAAAAAGAAGGTATTGATCTTCATGCTAGAAAAGTTGTTTGCAAAATCGCGTAATTGATCCATGCAAATCGTTGAGTCTGTGATTTATACAACAACGCCCAACGTCATTTCAAATACGATAGTTATTGTGAAAGAGTGTTAAATCAAATCAAAGAAGATTTCCACCGCTATAATTAATTGTATTGTTTATGTAACAACGAGCCTTGGAATTAATAGTTTAGATATTATAGTAGATATTCTTTACCACATTACCTGTACAAATTGTATATATTTGTTTTTAACAACGTTATCGCATTAATGATTGATTGTATACACCCCTATATATAAATACTGACACAGTTATTAGACATTTTACAGTATATATGTCAATGATGGAGCAGATGATACCTTAAAATACACACTGTATATGTCAATAACATCATATGTATCTTTTTGCTTTAGAAAAAATCCGACGCTGGGGACTCACCGTAATAGAGGGGACGAAAGACACACCTGGGCGTCGGCCATTTTGCCGTCCCTCGGGCCAGTGTCCCGTGGGTGCTGTGTGATGTTAGTGAAGATGTCCCGTGGAGTAAACACCGTACCAGCCTGTTGATCAGTGGGATGTACATTAAATCCTCTTCACACTTTATCATGTAAATGAAGACTCGATTATTGACATAATAAAGCACGCTCGGTGACACCTTGTCCGTCAGACCATTACCTCAGCATAGTGTTCAGCGTACAGCCACTCCCACAGGAGGCGGAGTCAACTACCAGACAATTACCCCTAACAACTTACAGTAGGACAACAAGTCGATACAAGGGAGGAGCCTATTCTGAACCACTTACGGTATACCTACTGTACATGTACATATGTAAGGAATGATATTTACACTTGGCCTTTAGTGCAATTCCTCATGCGATTTAACTAATGCTTCCGTGTGTATCCCAGATAGCTGTAATTCTATATTTATACACTGCGCCGGAGCTTTAATTTATGGTAATTTGACATCAATTTAATAAACAGAAAGGGAAGAACTGAACTTATATTGTAATTAAATCTAAATTGAAATGCACATGAATAATTGTATAACGAATTTATAATCGAAATACCTTGCATGTGAAAATTTGACCAGCACCTGTGGTTGTTGATAGAGACGTATAAACCCATACGTGCATTCGTTTTTATATTTAATTAACTACGTTTTTTAAACAGTGGGTAATCAAATTATATTGTAAAAGTTTATTAAATATCAGTCTTTTTTACTGTTCTTTCTAAAACATATTTTTCTGGGTTTATTGGAAGCACTCTTCAGTGAGCACAATGATAAAGGAAGTCGTCATATTGGGGGAGGATAACTAATCCCATTATTATTAACCGTATACAATACATATTTATGCTCACATGTAATGATAATGTGTGCATGGTAACACGCGAGGAAACAAAATTAACTCAAAGTTGATAAGGTAATAACAGGAAAGAATAAAGAAACAGAAAGTCAGACATCGTGAATCCTCAGAATGTGGTAGCAGATGATATGGAGAGTTCCCGAACCACATGTACACACTGTAGTACCCGATCTGATGCCATCATCAAATGTGGAGCAGTGTTACTCACATACAGGGTATTTTATAAAGTGTTTAAAAAACACATTTTGACGCATTTAAATTTGTCTGTTTGTTTACTGACACAGAATTCATAAGTTTGACTCCATGCCCTGTTTACTTTATAACTCTGATATAATTAACACGACTATCAGATGATAAACACACAAGAAGGAGTGTTGTAAATGAGATGCATTCTATATATTAATAACATAAAGTCAGGGCGACCAAGTGGTACTCCAACTAGATCAGCCTGCTTTATAAACATACTTCTAAACTTGTTGATAGTTACGTACTATTTAAAAATGATTACATAGCTAGCGAAACAGTTAGTCTACCCAAAACTCTTTTAAAGTCGTATGGATATCACCAATGTTATGTTGACGTTAAAAGGAACCTGTTCTTATGTGTCCATAGTTACGTATAGTTTATTTCCAAACAAACACAAGATTGGAAAAATATTTTTTAATAAAAACATCAATATGAATATTTTATCAATATTTGATATTTAATAATATTTTTGAAAGAAAATATAACATTTGTTTTTTACGTTCTTATTGTATTATAAACATGTTCCCTTACCGTAGGCAACTGTAACGGGTATTGCTTCGGTCTGCAGAGGGATGTATTTATAGTAACACTTAGTAAGCGGTGGAGGTATTAAATGGTTGGAGAAAGCATTAACTGTCAATCAATCAATCAATCAATCAATCATCAATCAATCAATCAATCAATCATCATTAACTGTTTCCTCATGTAAACAATGTAAAATAATAGGACACGCGACACGTAAGGATTTGTGTTATACAATGACTCATCATACTCTTCTGACTATGTTCATTATATAAATTATCACATTGGTTAATATTCGTCTATATCTTTTATCACGTGGGGTAATATTCGTCTATAATATTTATCACGTGGGTTAGTATTCGGGTATAATATTTATCACATAGGGTGCTATTCGGCTATATGAGATATCACGTGGGTTAGTATTCGTCTATAATATTTATCACGTGGGTTAGTATTCGGGTATGATATTTATCACATAGGGTGATATTCGGCTATATGATTTATCACATGTGTTATTATTTGTCTATAGTATTTACCACGTGGGTTGATATATCATTTCGTCTAATAAACATATTGAGTATCAATACATGTTGTTCGTTTGAACACGGAATTAGATTAGATTTGTTATCTAAGTCCGTGGTTTGATTAAACGATGTTTGCATTGACTAATACAGGTTTGTGATTTCGTAAAGACTGTCAATAGTTGTTACAGAATAATGAACCTCTTGGTTGTTACACTACACTAACCATTGGCCATGTGGACACGTCTCGGGTGTCGGGTTTGATATAACACCCGGCCATTTGGTAGGGTGGACATACATTACATAATGTTGGGAAGCCAGCTGCAGGCATGTTAAGTCTATCATGAATGGATGGTTTTATTAGAGTTAATGTAGCTAATGTTTTATACCTCCTCAGAAATGTTCACATGTAAGGAGGCATTGTTAAAGGCCACACGTGTTTTCGTGAGGGGAACCCTATCCCTATCCTCATCACTAGAGTAGCGACCCTGAGCCCCTAACACCTGACAAACCAGGTAAATCCCACATGTATATCGGCAGGTACATTCCAGGTATGTACAGGTAGGCCCGGGTGTTGTATTGTGGTCACCTCCTCACACTTGTTGTTTGCGGAAATCTATCCGCCAACAGGTGCGCTTTACAAATAGGAATAGTTACAAACTGTGGTTAGACGTCAGCAAGACAAGGGCTGTCTTTGAATAGCCGGTCGGGGCTATGTAACAGATATCGGCCCCAGTCGGGGCCACACATTCCGCTCACACGCATATGACGTCACCTGGTGTGGAATCCGATGGCTACCCTGGACACATCTGGTCACATTCAATCTAATGATACGTTTTTAATTTCTAACCACACAGGAAATCCTTTTAGATGTGAAGTTAAGATATCTGACCATTGTAATTAATTTCAGTAATCAACATTGTTTTATTTCACTCCCTACTCCTCTGTCAAGCAAGACACAGACTTTAGCATATGAAGTATGACGTGTTACGAACTCGTAATTGTACAATTATATATCGTTAAAGCATATTTCTTATATTTCTATGACCAATTTTGAATTAATTTCCCAATTGAAAGTTCATGTTTATCTAAACAAGATGCGACAAACACATCCCTGCGTGTAGCTGCACGAAATCAATTAAATACCCAGACATCATTATGTAACTAAATTTACATAATTTATTACCATTGGGTTGGAATAATATTCAATATCTTCCGGCATTGAATATTGTACACGGTGGTCGCAGACTTTCCAACATTTACATTTCATTGTTGTTAAACCTAGAATTAAAATTTATATGAAATCGATTGCGTCGACTCTTTTATTCAACGTAGAAATAATTTATTTTATTTCATTTTTATGCATTTAAATGAAATTTAATATCACCATATAATTTATAATGAACATGTGCACAATGCAGTACAGGAAAGCAGGTAAAGATATTTAATTACTAGTTCAGCAGATGTATATTTTACAATATCGTTTTGTTAATGATGTCGGCTTATAAGTCATATGGCCGTTATCAAATTGGTGTTTGCTAAACTAAAGTCTCTTCCTTTAAGCTATCATGATTTGTCACAAATATCCTAGAGTGGAGCCACGCCCCTCTAGCCCCGCGGTGGACCGTAGCAGATAAAGGCCGGTGTTCCATTGTCCGTGTCAGGGAACAATTTGTTCGTGCTGTGAGAGAGATTTGGTATTGCCTGTTGTTGGTTTATGTGTTAAATATTCACTACCATATGAACATCCCGGAGAGTGTTATTACCTCCCCTGAGAACGGTTCGACAGGCTGCTCTGTAATTTACACTCAATGTCTACTCGAAAATGTAACCATTAAAATGCATGTGAATTATTCGGCCTTGAGCCGACACACTCTCTTTTCAATCGTTTAACAGAGTTATCGCCCCCAACGGGATAGAAATGTGTGACGAACACGGCAAATCAAACTCCCGGAAGTCAGGTTGCCCTTCAGTAGGTGGTGAATTGTAACGGTAAGACCCGGATGACCAGGTTTTCGATCTCGCCAAGGGCATATCCGGTTATGAGTGTTGATGCAGGGCAATATGGAGTTGGCCTAACCTGCATGAACTATCGTCAAGCCGATGCACGCATAGTGCCGCGGAAACTCCTTTCCTGAACTCAAATTCCAGATGTTTTAGTCCAATATACACGTTATATGACAAACCCCATTAACTCCATGTTGAGTTTCAATATTTTATTTCGGTTTATGTATGCATCATTGGGCACATTTGGTCGGTGACTTTACATGTAATACGGTTTCCTAAGTTGAGTACTATGATTCAGGCAGCAATTTGCTAATTATGTCAAAATTATTTGATGTTTTTGATGTAGCGCATTTTTTAATTTATTTATGGTGTGATAATGAGTTATCAAAATGTTCTGGATAAAATAATGTTTGTAATTACATGAACGATTTTAAACATTTGTGATATGTTTACTTTGCACTATAAGTGTGTGAGGTAATGTCGCCGTAAGCATAAGCGATGTTCAATTATCTTTATTTTCGTTTATTCATTATTCTTTAATCATGTAACATTGAAATAACAATAAATTTGATAATGACGTTTTATCTGTCCTCCACAATTTTGTGAGTATCTGAGACTTTCCTTCTTAAAGTACATGGCAAACGTGGCTATTTCCATTTTACGATCTAAAATTCAATAAAAATATCTTTTCACTGAAAGAACTGATTTACCAAATCGGCCTGACATTATTTATGTTTAGCATGAGGAATAGTAATGGTGGTATACAAAGTGGTGAAGATTTAACAGAAGTGAATTTAGAAAATGATGAAAATATAAGATCCTGTAGAAGTTCTTTCAATTTTTTAAAGCTTCACATTTTGTTGATATCACTGTGTAATTGATCAGGAACAAGTGCTTGAATCCGTCCTGTACTGTTTTCGGTTCAATGGTTACGACTCTGATTTTTGTGTTGAACGATCCTGCCGTGAACGGTTAACATTATTTGGGACCACATTTGATGTGCCCATATATCATATTAACTTTTTATAACTCGCTTATATATGTGACACGATGAAAAATTCATGTATTAATATTGAAAACTAAATCTTGATTTAAGTTTCTTCAAAATTCACCCAACTCAAGGCTAAAATTTGATTTTATATTAATTTATTACCGGTACAATATATTGGTCTTGACCACAGAGTCTAAGCCTGAGCAATAAGAAC